AGTTTTACACGAATAACCACGTTCAGCGTTTACTCCCACTCTTCATCTGGGTTCATTCGTTTACGTACAAGGTATATGTCGTCTAATGATTCTCATCTTTAAAATGATACGTGTTTTCCTTGTTCTGCACCATATCGTGTCAAAAATGGAAATGATTGTAGAAAATGTATTTTATTGTATAATGTTTCCTGTAGCCACATCCTATCACGGTGATCCACCGCATAGTATCCCACAATCAAACGACAGTGATTGTTAGCGACGATGAGTGTGATTTAAATACAATAGACCATACAGCTTGATATTATATTTTATCAATCAATAACAAGCTTATTCTGTTGAAAATCTATCAATGGTATATTTCCTGAACTGAGTCCTCACCTTTGCTTTTCAACAATTTACTAATAATATGGTATTAACACAAGGTACAATTTTATGGATACACAATTACTGAGTTTGCTTGATAAAGACGAGAGTTTCCTAATCGAAACGTCGCTTAGTATTAAAACTCAGTAAATGTGTATCCATAAAATTGTACCGTGTGTTAATATGTTCAATTACTAAATGCCAATCAAAGAAAATATGGTATTAGCATCAGATATGTCGATTGTCAATGAAGCTGTTATGAGGTCAATGTCGAAATATATCTCGAAAAGTAAAAATACACATTATTGACTAGAAATATATGATTTGAGTCAATAATAAAATTGTCGATTTCATTGGACTTTGTTGATTTGTTTAGTTGTATGACAATCTATAAATGAAGCTAGTGTTGAAATAAAACTGATTTTATGTCAACACAATAAACTTAATGTCAAACTGAAAGAAGTAGTAAACAAGCTGAATTCCGCCCAATCTCTCTAAACAAAAACTCATATAAAGTTTGTCTTATCACTAAATAACAAATTGGATCATACCGATTCAATATTTTATTTTGAACTAAATTCAAGAGGCTTAGCTCCTTTAACCCTTATTCTGTCATTTTGCAACTTCAACTTTTATTAAAAACATTATACTGAAACTGATATAGCTAAGAACACCTTTGCATACATAGAAACTTTACCGGATGAACTACAATAATAAACATTATCTGACGTATATCTGTACTAATGTATATAGAGCTGTGTCATTCATTGATTTAAATAATAAATATATCTATATTCTGTGAAGTAATATAGATAAAGTATATACTATCAGATAATCATCTGTTTATTTATAATATAACACAAATATTGTTCATTTCACTAATATATTCTTGTCTATCAGAAAAATGCATCGATAGAAAGAAAATCAATATGTTTTTTTAGTATTAACAGCTGCTACCACCATTGTTATATCCAGCCTGATGCTATACTTCATGTAATCTAATTTTAGACTTTACTGAATTGTAAAAGGAGACAAAAAACCAAAACACCCATGAAAACGAAAAAAATAATATCCGTTAATATTTAGTGGTGTATTTAATGATGAAATTATTAGAAGTAATATTATATTAACATGAATGAAACATTCTAGAACACTCATTTACTGATTTACTAATCTAATTTTTCACTCTTGCAACACCGGGATAGTACGCTAATAAGTATATAACCAGTGCTCGCCCCCACCCCCGCCACCCCATCACCCTCTTGCTACATCAGTTGCGATCTAATTAATTATCAAATAATATTCTCCCATACGTCTTGACTGAATATTCTATGAGGATGAGTAAGATTTTGAGTATTTTAAATTAAAGTTGTATGATCCAATTCTCCGCAAATTACATTAATTATTAATGGTTTCACTTTTAACACGCTATACAATCACTGAATACATCAACACGGAGATATTTCACAATAAACTGTAATACTTTCTTATGGAGTAATAGTTATTATAAATTTATTTGGGCGACGTTTAGAATAATAATCTTTCAACGTTTTCAAGCAAGTACAGTAACGAAGGTACGATTACTTTAGTGGTGCAAAACTCAAGATACTCAACAAACTGAGTACTTAGCTAATAAGAGTTTCTGATCACCTGGGCCCTGTTTCTCGAAATCTTAACTTAAAATAAAATTTCAAATCTTAGTAGATATTTCAATTTTGAATGGATAAGCACTAAAATCAATCTAATATTATCCAATCAAATTACTAAAATTTGGATTTTATCTTAGTTAAAATTTCGTGAAACCGGCCCCAGGATCTAGACAGTGGTTCAAAGTATTTAATTATGTATTAAAACATACAATGATTAGTATTGATCTCAAACATACAAGTACTTCAATTTCATGACTGACACCTTGCAATACTTTATTGACTATTTTAATTTTTCTTAACTTATTAGGTCTGTGATACCATTGCATGGTAGCTTACAATTTTGTTTTAGCTATGCCAACTTTCCAAACAAGAAGTGGTATCAGGTGTTCTAGAAAGAATAAGCACACGAGTTGAAGATTTTAAAACTATCCCGGGAAACAAAACGTCATTTTAATATTAGATTAATATTATCATCAAATATATATAATATTCATCCGTTATATTCCATTAACCTAATGGCTAATAATCTCTAATAAAGGATATAGCCGACACCGACCATTCGTTTTGTTAATATGGGTAATAATCTCGGTTAATATTAAATGATACAGCTGACATCGACCAGTCGTACACCAGGCCAATTATCGCTAATAATCTTTGCTGTCATGACTGATCATTATGGTTCCACCTGATATAAACTTTTGTATTATACCTGAATGACTAGATTTCCGATTAAACCAATTTTACTATGTAATTATGGTCATTAAACGTATACTCGCTTCTCGGGTAATATTTTACATGTAACTATCGATAAATACCAAAGTTATTGATGATTTGTTGAGATTAGACCAATACGACCTACACGGTCTAGGTCTAACTAAAACCAACCGATAAACAACTAATTAAATGCTCACGCGGATATTCATTGATTTTCAGACAATCGAGGATTTGCGCGAAAGAACAATGCTAGAAAAATGCAAAGAAAAGTTCATAGACCGTTAAGGTCTTTTCAAGGTGGCTTTGAAATAAAAAATAAAATAATGTGGGCCAGGCAAGTGATCGTTTTGTTGTGTGTAACATTCTCAACTAAATGGAGAGAGAGAGAGAGAGAGAGAGAGAGAGAGTTAATAATGTCCACATAATTAAACAAATTCATTCTAATCACGAACGTTACATTCATGCAAAAACAGATTACATACAGACGAATACAAAGAGGTTGTTCATGCATCCAAGTCTACAGCACAAACCGAGTACGTTTTATTCATATGAAAGAAATACAGTTTTGTTTATAATTTATAAATAGATATATAAAACACAATAATATACTAAATACCTACATCTACATGTACATAGCTCTTTAATCTTAAAATATATTTTGAAACAGACAATCCATATCCCGCTGAGTATTTTCTTAAATGCCTTACATTAAGATAATTACAACTTTATAACAAAGTTGACTTTTCTTCTCAAAAGAAATTTTCAAGGTAAAAATATCCAAATATATACACTGGTATATTGACAGCCCTGAATTGACCATTAAGCACAATACGTAAGGGAAGAAGGGGACCAAAGTATTGGATTTACCATGCTGTAAATGATATAACTGAACCACGGTGTACAAAAAGGGGCCAGCAATATATGAGAAAAAAATCCTATATTATTGACATATATATAATTTTTTATATATATATTTGTATAGCTGTAGTGAATTGTTGTTCTAATGTACAGTATCATATATCATAGTATAAAATATAAAAATAACACCGATTTGCTTCTACATGTTTCAATATATTTTCATCAGGAAGCCATTGATACCATGTTTCGATATATTTTCATCAGGAAGCCACCTGATGAAAATATATTGAAACATGTAGAAGCAAATCGGTGTTATTTTTATATTTTATACTATGATATATTTGTATATATATATAAAAAATATTTTAGTAAAGAAGGGTATAGTGATACATTTAGAAGCCGGGGATAAAATAAAATTAGAAATTAAGCAACTTAATCTAAAACTAGATTTTAGTCGTAATACGCTAAAGTTGTCTATATGGTCATTGGAGTAGCTGATATCCGAGGTAGCTTTGTTTATAAAACATTACTGAACCACACTTGGCAACCCAAAACCCAAATTTTCCTGATATAAAGTGGTAGAGAAACTGTATCCTTTTTTTTAAAAAAAAGAAAAAAAAAAAGCATGATAAATTTTGTGCTGGGTTATTAACTTTATGAAACTGTTTCGTTTTTAAAATAAAACTCGTTTACCACCTTAATTGTTGGAAATTTGTAGAAATTTGATCAACTGCAACCCATTCAACCCAAATTAACTTTCCTTTGTGCACACAAAAAATAGATTCAGGCGACTGATTGAAGCTAATCATATATACTATCATTAATGAACTATTTAACTTACAGCAATATTTTACTTATTGCAGTTATCGTTTCGCTATTATTATAGTAATCTATATGAGTTATTGATTACTTGCATTAATAACTATCAACAAACGTTCAGTAATGACGGTGACTCACTTTTAGCGTCAGTGGCTTACATTTCATTGCTTATATTCAATTACGAAATCTCGGATACAATAAATCTGCTAAACGAACTGAAGTATCTTTTTATCGCCCCTATCACAGTGTCGTTCAGAATGATGACGGATTAAAATGGGTTATTAAACTTATTTTGTACCCCCGTCACGCATGACTCTGAACACAAAAGCTACGTCACTGGGTTCAGATGTCCCATTACAGAAAAGACATATTACACTGTCATTCAACACGTTATAAACAGTAGCCGCGTCTCATCTTAAGCTTAGCCCTTTTCTGAACAATACGTTATATAAAAGATAACTTTTTCTCTCTCCATTTTTAAACTACCCTGAATATAAAATGTCAAATTCAGCTTCTTTTAAAAGTAAATAAAGATGTATATTATATAAAGTAATGGTATATAGATACTTTCTGGTATATAAATAAAGTTTTACCTACCTAACTTTACGCCAGGTATATAAGATACATTCCCTGAATTTAGTTTTTCTAAAGCATATTTTACAGCCACATACTGTTGTAAAGATTCACTCGAAATCGCCCCACATTTATTCTGAAGGTTCTTTCGCATACTAAACATTAAGGTAAATTTTATGTTTTCGTTGGCATTCCATTCTGAGCTACGAACACGACAATATTCATTACACGCTGAATATCGAAAAACACAAAATAAAAAACACACAATACTAAAAATCCATCTTTCCCTAAATCCAAACATGTTGTCGATTTGTCAGAATGAATAATTGGTATTAATATCACGTAAGAACACAGTTGTCAGTCATTTTGTAATCTCTTATCGAACTTTGTTACCGCTCAGCTTCTGTTTACTCCATATATAAAGCTAATTCAAGGTATGCCACAGGTAATACGTATAAACGTCAACAGGTGTCGCTCAACTAAGGTCATGGTCGTTGAATACAGAAGACACATATAGTCGCATAGACGAGAAAATAAACATTATTCTGATTCAACGAAGCGTGAACGTTGGGTCAATTATAACATTCGTTGAATTATATTGTAAGAAACGTTACGTCAGCTTATTGCATAAATAAAAAGTGATCTTCTAAACGTAAGCTTTATCATATCAGGCATAAATTAGCGATTTTCCTGGGAATTATGTAAGCGAATTTTAACTGGTCATTAATTACCGGAACATAATCTCCGCTGTGCGAATATCGACTTTTATCGGCGGCGGCGAATAATAGCCAAAATATCATACAGGTTTGGTAATCAGCAATGACAAAGACTAACCTGTGCAAACTAATATTCTTCAATATCACCGCCAAATGGAAGCGGACGTTAAATCCCACGAACGATAAAACCAAAATATCAGTTGATTTTACAAATTGGCGACCCGTTTTAAGCAAGATTTCCATCCAAGGGCCCCACCATTTTGACTAGTTAAGTCAGGATCAGCAGCGATAATACCTTTAACAGTCGCCCGTAAATTACTTGTATGCGGGCATCCATAGCTGTGATTTGGACAGCACTGATGGTTGTCCAAACATTGCCCATTGCTTCACCAATTGTCAAAAATCGCCGGTGTACACTAGGCTTTAGTTATGTTTTTCGATTTTCGAAAGGTTTTACCGGTAATAGACTTATTGAACTTTAAAGGCTATTATATGATGTTGAATTCAATTTATACAAGAATTATATAAATAGACAGAAATTCTTCTTAAATGAAACTTAATAGTGTATTTTCTTCGAATCCCCTTAAAAACGAATATCATTGTGATATCCTTGTAATATTTTATGGTAATATGAAAGAGAGGAAAAAATACAAAAAAACAACGACTCAATTGTGATATATGTTTATTTCGTATTTATTTTCACAACTATTTTATATCATTTCAGATGTGTAATTCGAAAGTAAAAATTGGTTATTTTCTCCGAAAGCTGTTATTTTTTTATTGCTTTGATAACCACTTGTGTATTCAACACGTCCCTCTCTCCAAAGAATATAAAATGTCGACTTTGGCTTCTATTAAAAGTTTACAAGGGTGAATATTATAAAAAGCAATAGTATATAGATGTTTTTTTGTATCTAAATGTGAATATTATAACAAGAACAATAAAGCAGTGTTAAAAATCACATCCTGGAAATACGAAACAGCATTACTCCTTTGTGCAATCTTTGATGGGGAAGTCAAAGATTTGGTTGTTGCGTTCCTCTAGCAAATAGTTTCAATGACTACTTCATTAATAAGATATCGGATATCGGGAAGTCACTAAACAAACCAGATGAAAACATAACAACACCCCCTTGTTCAGATGTAGACGGAAGTTTTTAGGACCAAGAAGCTTTAATGCTCAGGGTGCATTTGAATTGTTATGTGAGAAAGAAATTCGACAACTTATTACATCCCCAAAACCGACATCATATGAACTGGATAAAATCCCGACTCACGTATTCTAACGAACATTGTTGTACTACTGCCCACGGTAACTCTAATTATAAATACCTGGATGAGTTCCACTACTCTTTAAATCTGCTGTTGTGAAATCTCTTTTAACAAAGACTGGCTTTGATAGAAAACTTGAAATTACCGTCCTGGTGATCAAGGTCGAATGTCATTTCTAGTACTGTTAGTTCTTTCTATCGCTTTCGACAGTCTAAGTTCTGAAGTGTATATAAATCATACTGCTCTTGGGTGGTTTCGGTATTTGTTTGAAAGGCACCCACCAATCAGTTATAACAAAGATCCGTATTGACGTGGGGAATACCACAGGGGTCAGTCCTTGGCCCATTATATTTACCATGTATAACAATCAGCTGGGCAACATTCTAGACTGTCAATCACGTGATCAGAACCTCTATGCAAATGATACACAATTTTATGATTGATTTATCCATTAAGCTAATTAAGAAACTGTTGCAGCAAAAATGACATCAACTTTCCAAGAAATTCAATTATGGGTGGCCTATAATATGTTGAAACCAAAACAAAATAAGATTAAATCAATGGTTGTTGGACCAAAGGCTCGATTATCAAAATTAACACAAAATGAATTTAAAACTGGTTCAGGAACAATCACCTTTCATCTTCTGTAAGAAAAAGGTGTAGTGCTTGGCATGGAATCGACTGTGGCTTAACAAGTTGACAAACGCCCTCAAAAATGTTTCTCCTAAATAAAGCACAATGAAAACATAAACCACCTCATAACTAATGGAGCAGCCGCTGCACTTGCCAGATCTTTAATACTTTCTCGTCTTGACTATTGTAACAGCTTGCTATCTGGTCTTCCAAAATATCAACTTGAGCGACTGCAGCGAATTCAAAAATGTGCTGCCAGAATAGTAACTAAAATAGATTCCCGCTGTCATATTACACCTGTGTTAAAAGAACCACACTGGCTTCCAGTACTGACAATAATTAACTTCAAACTTCTTTTCTTTCTTTAACATAACAATTTATTCATGGTTTGGCCCCTGAATATCAATGTAAAATAAAATAATCAAAATATACTCAATAGACCAAATTGGAAATTGAAAACTTTTGGAGTCAGATCTTTCCGTACTATTGCATCTGAAAAATGGAATTCTCTACAAGATGAACTTTGATCCGTTTCGATTTTGAATCAATTAAAATCTCATCTAACGACATTCCATTTCCTAAATCTGTGGTGTATGAACCTTTGGGTGTGAGGATGAGTCAAGCGCTTTAAGCACGCTTTGTGGATCTAGCGCGTTACACATGGACATTTATTATTGTTATATTATATAGATATTTTCGGATATATAAATAAATTTTTACCTACCTAACTTTACTCCAGGTATATAAGATACATTCCCTGAATTTAGTTTTTCTAAAGCATATTTTACAGCCACATACTGTTGTAAAGATTCACCCGAAATCGCCGCACATTTATTCTGTAAATTCTCTCGAATATTAAACATTAACGTAAATTTTAAGTTTGCGTTTGCATTCCATTCTGAGCTACGAACACGACAATATTCATTACACGCTGAATATCGAACAACACAAAATAAAAAAACCACAACATTACAAAAACAGCTTTCTCTAAATCCAAACATGTTGTCGATTTGTCAGAATGAATAATTGGTATTAATATCATGTGTACTAGCACAGTTGTCAGGCATTTTGTATTCTCTTTTCGAACTTTGTTAGCGCTCAGCTTCTGTTTACTCCACATATAAAGCTAATTCAAGGTATGCCACATGTAATGATATTATGCATTATGCATAAACGTCAACGTGTAAACGAAGAGGGAAGAAGGACATGCGTGTAACAAGAACAATGAAATATCTGACAGGTATAATTTATATTATATTTTACCGGATTTACTTGTAGCATTTATGTGCCTATACAATGTATTCTCCCACATCATTTATTCATTTTATTAATCTGATTTTGAGCTTCTGAATATGTTTATTAATAAACATAAAAAAACACACAAAATCCCAACACAGCCAAACGTCACTGCCATTTAAAGTCCGCTCCAGTATTAATCGGAGAAATAAAAAACAGAATAGGCCTAACTAGAAACAAATTTGATAGGCATATTTTACCATGTTGGACTAGAGCAACCATTTCTTTAATTATTTATAATACTAGATTTATCTTATTGCATAAAACGCCGATAGGGGACCGAATACAATTTTGATAGAGAAGCATTATGTCAAAATATAGGCGATTTTACTTCTCCCGCCCACTGTCAATGCAGCTGCTGTTCCCAAAACAATCGCTGATGGCGATGACTTGTATGAATTTGCAATAGGCGTTATTCTGATTTCTTCAGGTTGGTCACCAAATGTATCATCGCAGAAGATTACTATTGCAATGTATATAACATTAATACATTAGTTTACGGTTCACATGCCAGAAACAATACAGAGAACAGAACGGGACAGCATATTTGCAGGATTGCGTACCTTCCAACTGATTTGCCTACGTGAGCCTACGTGAATGCGAGTTCATCTGCGCATAATATTATCTATCTACTTTCCCGGATGTGTAAATCTAGTGATGTGAACATAATTTAAGTTAACAAAGTGTAAAGTGTGGGCAGAACTGAAGGATTTGCGTAAAAAATCTGAATTGTTACTGGGATCTTCTTTGTCACACAGATGAACACTCCCCTAGCTATTTTCATTGATAACTGTGCCTTGACTTGTGTCGATCCATCCATAATACTTGTCTATATAATCGTATACAGTCAAAGGTAGATATGCACATATATGTTTCAACTGGTGGAGTATCTCGGACAGAGATATTCACCTTTAATTGGTCCAGACTAATATTTGTTGTAGAGAATATAGGCTTGATTAATTGAGACTAATTGTTAACACTATGGTGCTGTCTATATTGGTTACGGCGAAGTTTTCTATTGTGAATTCCAGATTAGGATCAGGGCTAGTGTTCGATTGGGTTCTTCTGTATGACCAAGCAAGACAGCAAACACAAACCACGACAATGATTTCTCTTTTCTTTTGAGTCACCGTACTTTTTAAGTCCGGATTTGGCATGAGGTATATGATAATAAAATAACATTAAGAATATACGGGTCAGTGAATGCAAGAGATGGAGAGAAATGGGGTTAAACGCCCACTCGACACAAACTAGGTCATTTTGGGACTAACATATGGTTCAATTTTATTTCAATAATTCGCTTGCGTGTAGATGTCTGTAGCGGTGGGGGGAAACCGGAGGACCCGGAGAAAATCCACGAGGTTGGACAGGCGACCCTACTCCTTGTCACGTACAACCGGGGGATCGAAGCCCCGTCAGTTGACTAAATGACAGACCTGATGATACAGCGCGCACGCGCTAACCATTTGGTCATCCACCATCCCCCCATCAGTGAATGTGATATTAATATACGTATACATAAGACGATTAACAACATGTATATAAAATATTTATAGAATGAAATACGAAAACAACAAAGGGGAGGAGAGGAAATGGGGATTAACGTCCACTCGACACAAACCAGGTCATCTCGAGACTAACATATGGTTTAATTTTTAATTCAATAATTCGCTTGCGCATAGGGGTCTTTAGCAGTGGGGGGAAACCGGAGGACCCGGAGAAAACCCACGAGGTTGGACAGGCTACCTACTCCTTGTCACGTACAACCGGGGATTCGAAACCACGCCAGTTGACTCAATGACAGGCTTTATGATACAGCGCGCACGTGCTAACCATTCGGCCATCCAACCCCCCTAACAACAAAGGGTACAGAAAATACAACGCATGATGCTCCTCTAATACATTATCAGATTTTAACGTAGCAAATACAGATTTTACCGCAAAAAATAAATAATATCAAACATATAAATTAAACAATAACCAGATTTTACCATACATAATCACTAGATTTTATCATACAAAATACATAATAACTAGACTTTACCATATCATTATCAATAGATGTTATCTTAGAATAATCGACACAGGGTACTGGGTAATTAAATGATTTTCTTGATGATGTCGAAACGTTGCATAGTCTATTAAATCCAGCAAATTGTATTTTGTGTTAATATGTTCAATTACCACGTGCCTATCAAATACGTAATACATAATAACTAGATTTTACCAAAACATTAATATTCAGATTTTAATCACATGATTTTACGACAAGAACAATGAACAGTTTTTACAGGAAGCATCATGTTCGAATGGTCATCATGGACACGGCATCAAACTCAAGTTTGACATACCTTATGATAAGTTTTGTACTTGCCAGTTGTACACATGATTAACAATCCAGGATATAAATATTTTAGATACCATAATATTGTGTCTATATTTTTACTTTTTAAAGGACCTAAGTCCGTAACTCAAAATCCTCCAAAATCTTCGACATCGAAAACACGAATTATTGGTCAATTTAAATCAACATTGATGATGTAAACTTACCGGGAAAAGATGAGCTTCTGATATCCGATATTTAAGATAAAAATTTTTTTTTAACATTGGTACACGAATCGTGTACCATAATGCGCTTCAGCCCCAGTTGTATTGAGAGACTCGAGGGACGAGGCTAGACACATTGCACCAAATCAAATGGAATTATGTAGACTAGAATAACTAGACGCTAGAAATTTGCACTCGATTGAGATTGCTGACTTATTTCGCCGAACATAACTGATTTGAAATTGGAGTAAAAACGGAAACCATTAAATGTAAATCAGTTTATATACATTCATATTACAGTATTATATGCGTTGCGACCCACTTTTGTGAATTTCTAGGTCCCAAATGTTAGCGATTTAGCTCCTTTAATTGTCATTATTATTTGTAACTCCAAGAATATTTCTTTTCTTTTGAACTACATATCAGATTCTGGTCTAAGTACGCCCACATTATTTTTTTAATATAAAGACGCATCGTCGATAGTTTAGAAATATGTTGCCAGCAATACAAAAACCGGCTCCTTGTATTTCTCAGAAAAATTAGCACAGAGCTTTGGATATAACTGGATAAGAACAAACGCTTTTGAAAATCTTTGAAATACAGATGCGAAATTGAAAACATACATTTTAAGTTATTCTGCTCTTTGGAGTAACGCAAAGCTTATGTCTGGGGTGTAGAATATAAAGATGTGTTCATATCAATGGACTCGCCTTAGACTGTCCAAGGTTCTATTGTCCGGATCTCTCTTCCAGAGCTGATGAACACGGGGGCGGATCTGAAAGTATACCCTTTCGATTGGGTGGATACGAAACCCGAGATATCATTTACATATTGGTAGTGGTGCATTTAAAATAACCCTTGACGTCTGGAATTTGAACCCCTGCCCCACCCCTCTCTTTGCATTACACATAATATTATAACCATATAAATATTTACATATAAATATGTAAAACTGTCACCTGCAGACAAAAGTTTGTATTGGTCCCGGAATCAAAATGTCTTGTATGGTACAAATAATTATAAAATGATTATATTTTGTACCCGGACGAATAATACCCTTGGACCAATACCTGTTATCTGTTATGAGGTTATAATGTACTTGTGAACCAAACAGACGTTTATTCTCGCTCTCCTTTGACCAAGATGGCGTGGCTAACAATTATCGTTTACCTAAGTTTATTTGTTTCATCTAATGGCGTGTTGGATGACTTACCAAATCTATATGACGTTGCTGCTAATCTAGGATGTGATCGATTCCTGAAATTGACAGAAGATGCGGGAATGGCGGGTATTTTAAACGGAACAGGTAGGCATCCCTAGTCATTTGCTTCCTGATTACATCGTTACCTTCCAAACGAGGGATACTGCCTAAATGAACACAGGTTTAACTATTGAGAGGTCGGTCTGGTCTTTGTTGTTTGGTTGTTTACGGGATGGCCAACGGAATAGATATTAGCCACGAAGGCTATTTATTTGTAGAGAAAGTGAAATAGACATAAACTTACAAATAAATGAGGGTCACGATTGTCGCGCGGTGGGTCCTGGACTCGGAGTAGAATGTTCCGGATTTGATTTCCGGCGGTGGGTTGGGTGATCGAATGGTTAACGCGCGCACATTGCATCATAAGGTCTGTCATTGAGTCAAGTGGCGTGGTTTCGATTCGCTGCTTGTACGTGACAATGAGTAGTGTCACCTGTTCAACCTCGTGGGTTTTCTCCGGTTTCCTCCCACAGCTATAGACCCCGACGCGCAAGCGAATTATTGAAATAAAATTGAACCATATGATAGTCACGAAATGACCTAGATTGTGTGGAGTGGACGTTAAACCCCATTTCTCTACCGTCGCCTGTTCAGCCTCGTGTTTTACGCGCAAACGAATCATTGAAATAAAAGTGAACCATATGTTAATCTTGAAGTGACCTAGATTGTGTCAAGTGGATGATAAACCCCATTTATCTACCCATGGCCTACATTTTAATCAATGTATTTCAAGAATAACAACACACTTGAAAGAGACAAAAACAAATATATTGAACATTATGTACAACTTAAACCAGATGCCCCCCCCCCAACCCTTCCAAACGTATCTTCGCTGTTCGTCTAAACGTAGTGGTCCCCATCATATTGTTTATCATGTTGACTATAAGATAATGTTATCTTCTTCAAGTGACTTGATTTTGTCAGCATGCTATATGAATACTAAAACAAGATTATCTAGATAGTGAATAAGGATCAACTTACGATATTTAACGTTTGTTTCAGGGCCAATGACAGTGTTTGCTCCAACGAATAATGCCATTCAATCTTTACCCCGGGATGTTCTAGCCAGACTGTCCTCCGATAAAGATTTATTAAAAGCAGTATTAAGCTACCATTTTACAACTGATGTTTTTAATTCAACCACATCTATAAATGAAATGTTAATACCGTCCGAACAAGGGGCTAATATACGTATTAACGCTTATCCAGTAAGTAGACAAACTTAGAGCAAAAATTGTTAGTTACATTACAAAGGACCCACCCTCCAATACAATTCTATCATTTAATTTTTGAATAAATTAAATTTTCAAAAAAATATGTAAGTGGAAACAAAAAGATGTAATTAGAATTTTCATGCTAATAATTTTTTTTTCTAACATTTATATATTTTTTGATAATTTATATTTTAATTATATTGTCTAATAGGGCCCCACGTCCTCAGATGTCCACTTGCCATTGGGCAAGCTGACAACAGAGCTAGTCTGTCAATGAACATTACCAAATCGAACAACCGAGATATGGTATCAAATGTTCAAGACTGAAAAAAATTCCCCACACTTCTGTCCTCAGACGACCAACTGTTTTTAAATTGAGATTATAATATATTGAACAATTACACCCTTACACCCATGGAATGCTCAACCTTCGGAATATCAAACTTTCAATCCTAAACAACATGAAATGAATTAAAATTAGGTTTTACGTATCACCTTTCTGCACAGAATGTCAAGTTAATTTTTAAGTGCACGCCAAAGTGTACACAGAACCCAGTATTTTGTCCCATCCAAACAACTAGGCACTGTTGATTGTCAGGTCCTCGGTCCTATACCATTGACAAGGGCAAACCAACTCTGAAAATACCGAGGTACTGTCTCGGCCAACAAGGGGAGCGAACCCGAGAGCTCCTGGTTAAGGAGCTAACGTCTTACTCTTTGATTGATGTTACTCATAGCCACCACGGCTCCTCCCAAACAACAGTCATGGTATTAACCTTGAATTTAAAAATATTACGCCGAAAATTCAATTTATTTCATTTCCATAGCAACAAAATGACATCGTCATCACAGCTTCTGGTGGTGAGATTATTTTAAAGAATGTTCAAGCTAAAAATGGCGTTCTACAAGTTATTTCAAAAGTGATGTTTCCGCTACCTAATGGTACTATTTTCGAACTGGTAAACAATGATTTGCATCTAAGTACACTGTTCTTAACTATCATTAAAGCTAGTCTGGGTTGGACATTATCAGGTAAGTTTGTAATTTAAGTATATTAAAATGAATAGGTATACACCAACTGTGGATAATAATAATATTCCAATTAGAATATATACCGGGGCTCAAATAATGGTATTGACTGACCAGGATCTCGAAAGTTTTCAAGTCCGATCTCCGTGGCAGACGTCTATATGACTGACATTGCAGGTAAAGTGTCGCCTTGTTGCCCGGGTGAGACGCAGAGCCGAGGTCCATGTAAGTACACATTCGATAAGTAAAGAACACGTGATAGGCCAAATTGGAATTTGGTGAAGAGTAACAGTTGTTGGAAACGCCATTCCTTTTCTTTTCCTATACGAATAGTTTATATGGTTTTCTTATCCATTTCTGTATTGTCGACTCTATTTTTATAGCCCATTTCCATTTTCAGCCTTTCACGCGTGTTAAGTATTTCCCGACAGTCTGTGTTCTATATGGCTTCACCGTTTCTAGCACCGCGTTCCCGACAATCCGAAAGTCGATCTAGGTGTACTCTGCTCGAGGTTTCGGGAGATGACGCCAGGTCAGCTACGTTGACCTTTACCCTGAACTCAATTGCCTCAATTATTGTTTCTTAATAGCCATTATAATGGGGGGTTTTCACTTCGGGAAGATACAAATTCTACAAATTTATACATATATATATTATGTCTGTGTTATTCGTATTTTCCAGCAGATCCACCATTAACCTTACTGGCACCAACAGATGGTGCGTTCTCTAACTTACCTGCAGGAACTCTGACCACTTTATTAAACGATATTCCAAAACTAACAGGTATATAAAAGTTTCAAGACACCACTTGGGCGTTGCGCTACATGAATGGAATGAAATGTAATTGGGTATAATATCCTACCGTTCTGTTCCGACTGGGCTAATGAAGACGGGCATACGCCATATAGTGTGCTATGAGGGAAATAATTTTGCCTGGACAGCGGAGCTATGACCAGCTCGTATATCAAATTCCAACTGCCAAGGGATCTTTTACGTACACGCTAATGAGTACACGATATCTCGTTTTTTTCCGTCCCACCCGAACGACTATATGTTGTCCCTTGCCAGGCCCCCTGTCCTGCACCACTGAAAAGGTAGAACCGCGCCGGAAAATCCCAATGAACTTTCTCGGCCAATGCAGGAATCGAGCACGAACCTCCAGATTAGCGAGCCAAGTTCTTTACATGATACACACGTAAAATGTATTGGCTTATTTCAGGTTTCTAAACGTTCATTAAATTATTAGTGAAAAGGTTGTACTGTACGCTAAATATTGGTTACTTAATATATTTGATGGAAAGCAAAGAAGTAGGTCGGAGGAGCATGAATACTCATGGAACCAACGCCCTCCTTCAAAGGGTTTCCAAAAAATAAAAAGGGGTCAAATTTGAATTCAGTATAGACACCATAAGGACGTCCATTGTGAGAAAGCGTCACTGGGTAAACTGATTTAATACAATGTACAATATTCCTCCGATAAAGATATGCTGATGTTTGTGATATTTTCGATCTGTACGATTTTATTGAAGATGATAATATATGTTTTTGTTCTAGATTTATTATTATTCCATGTGGTTGGAGGAACTTATTACAGCGCTGGATTAGTTAATAATACATCTGTGACGGCTTTAAATAAGGGTACATTAAATATCAAAATTTCACCAGGTAAGTTAGTATATATATTTCTTCTTGTAAGAAAATTTACGTTCTTGCACAAAACCTTTTGATTTGTGTTCAATGGTCGACCTCACAGATGCTATGATAGAATGATGAAGATTTTAGAAAATAAACTATTTTTGTTTTGTTGAAAAAGCAATAGATTACAAAAGGGGGAGGGGGGAGTGCAGGTCCCACACGACGAGAACCCGTTGTTAACTTTTAATTTGATTTAACTCATATATTGGTGAACGAAAATAACATTATTGCACACAAGTGGTCAATGGGTTCGAGGATTTGCCAGGGCAAAAACGTTTCGATGAACATAATAGCAACTAAAAAGTAGGATTAAGTTTAGCACAAATCTCTTGTTTTAATTAATTTCTGATATTAATGTAGTGTATATAACTATTCATTGTCTATTCTTTTTTTTTCAGAAAATAATATTTTTGTAAATGATGCTATGGTAACTACAGCAGATGTGAGTGTTACTAATGGCGTGGTACATTACATTGATAAAGTTCTTATTCCCCCATCATTCTACCACTAATACATATTGCATTTGACAAGACTCTCTCAACTTGCAATTTTCAGAAACTGTAGGTGACATATTAAAGATCATACTGATTTAAAATGTCATATCGTTTTCATAATAAAGAATATCAGCCACTTCATACATGTATTTCATAAATTGGTTTTCATCATGGTTGTTCTGGGGGCGCTTTTGACCAAATGAAAAATTGTCTTACCGAGCAGATGGTTCATCAAGAGGTCCAATTGCCTTAATCGGTCATGGTCAAGTGTATGTGTGCATTGAAGATTTCACTTCGCGAGATTGCCTACAACACAAGATATTTTCAAGGTTGTTATTTACTTGATTAAGTGAAAGACACGATCAAGTATTTCCAAAAAGCAGACACAAACTGGATACACTGTGAAGATGAAATTAAGGGGAATCTCCTTGATCCAGATTTGAGCTTCTATGCCTCTAAGAGCTTGATCAAGTGCCTAATAAAACAATAACTTGATATGTATCACAAATTCCAAAAGATAAGAATGACGCAGTTATTACTTGATATATCTTTAAAAAAACAGTTTATTTAAGTGTATATCATATAATATATTCTCATATTTAATTAATATAATACCCAAGCAACAAACAATAACAATCAAAACCAAGTGTACATCAAATCTTTCATACAAAAAATAAACTGTTTCGTTATTACAAGAAGTTTTGACTAAAAATTCATTTTTCATATAGAACATGTAGAAATAATAAAAATATTGAGTTTAAAAAAAACATAGAAAAAGTCTACTATAACTCCACTATAACAGTCTTAACAAGACCTGTCTCTCTTCTAAATATACCAGCTAACTACTTACATACTACTACTATATGTATATAATAAATAATTATGTACTATTTTGAGGTAAAAAACACAATAGAAATGAACACATGACAATAAATCAACTGGACATACAGCACATACATACATTCTAAAATATAATGATGAATAAAAGGAATAAAGTTATTTCTAAAGTAGACTGAAATTTCTTTATTTTATTAATGCATTTATGACCTCTGTTGATCACCTTTATATTTTGGAAAAGCCCTATATGACATTATAGGAATAATAATCAAATCTTTGATCAATTTCATGTTAATTTTCAAATTAAGCCATTATTTATTTTTTTCGTAAATATATTGTGACACAATTTTAGGACATAGTAGGCAACTTATGACTAGTTTAATTTGACTTTTTGAAACACTTAAATCAATATTCAATCTTAAATTAATGTCATCAAGTGCTTCAATGTGCACGATATCATCTGATTATTATAATTTGTCAATCTATTGAAATGCCTGGCTTTTGATCTACTAATTATTTTTACTACCATTGTAATTCAAGGCACAGTCAAGGAAGCTTTATTTTCAGCAAATAATTATTGAAGGCACTGCTTACAATTTAGATTATGTATATAATAATTTTTAATTAATAACCTAGAATTAACTGCTATTTATTTACTAGAATTAAATGTCTATTTATTTAATAGAATAACCTAGAATTAAAGCGGCATTAGGTAAGATTAGATAAAGAGCCAACAGTTCTCGCTATAATAGTTAACTACAATTAACTGTCTATTTATTTACTAGAATTAAATGTCTATTTATTTAATAGAATTACCTAAAATTAAAGCGGCATTAGGTAAGAATAGATAAAGAGCCAACAGTTCTCGCTATAATAGTTAACTACAATTAACTGTCTATTTATTTACTAGAACTGTCTAATATATAGAAATGCTCAGCCATTTTCTGTTTTTCATGCCATAGAACAAATAATGAAGGTATGGAATAAGAAATTTTACAGTGGTGGGACCTGCAGTAAATTACAGTGCCAATTTATGAAACTAGCACAGTTTGGATTACATGTATTTATTTATTCTAAAACCCAGTATGGCAAATAAAACTCTTTAAGGCCAAGAGTTCATGAGTACATTTGGATAACATAATTACTGTACAATAAAGTTTTGTGGCCTTATGTAGACCCAGTCATTAAATCATAGTGTATACAAGTTGAGTTATATAAGCACACTTGACAAAACCATAATTGCAAAATTTAAATACAAGGCCACTAGCACAAATGCATGAGTTTAAACATTAAAATATAATCATAATGGCACAAAATCAGTAACATAGCCAGAGGGTGGTACTAAGGGGCTTGAGTAATTCACTTATAAAAACTCTAGAAAAAATGTTCAATTCATGAAGCACGAGATTCAAACTATAGCCACAGCACACTCTTCACAACAGTTCAGTTAACCACAGTATAAGAAGACCAATTGCAGGATATCTCTAATTTATGCAATGATGATGATTTATAGGTTGGTTTATACTTATGTAATCAATGTTACATATTTAGAGCCAGTTATCCAGTATGTTATTTGTAGAACATAGTGGAAGGTGCGGTGGCTTGCTAACAGGGAGGTACCGTGCACAATCCCAGTGTTGGCTGAGAAAGTTCATTAGGATTTTCCGGGATATTTCCATCTTGTCAGTGGTGCAGGACTGAAGGCCTGGCAAGGGATGAGATATAGGCGATCGGATGGGACAAAAATCTGAGGTCCTGTGTATACATTTGCGTGCGCATAAAAGAACCCGGGATGGCGCTGTCCTGGCAAATTTTCCTCATAGCAGACTGTATGACATATGCCTGTCTTCATTACCTCAGTCGGTCCAGAACAGTAGGACATTAAACCCCATTTCATTTTATTTTATATCGAACCAAATGTGAGAGATCAAATTAGTGGAGTTAACCCTGTTTTTTTTAAAAATTCGTGGCTATGTTACTGTACAATGCATGCATATAAAAAAAACTGACATAAATATAATTTGGTGTTGTTAACAGAAAAGTCTGACAAACAGTAATATTTATAATAACTATCATACAATACCCTTCATACTAGAATATACAATTTATAAAATTAAAGCTATATGTACCAGTTTATAAATGTATAAATCAGAATATAATCAACTTTCCTACATATTTTGTAAATAGACAACTCTAAACAAAAAATATATCTTTCTTTATAGTTTATTTTATAATATCGGTTCTCAATCAGGGGATAAATTTGTTGATTCTCGATTTGCAGTTTACTTAAATTTTATTATGCATTTTATATGAGAGAGAGAGAGAGAGAGAGAGAGAGAGATCAGGTTAACATCCACACGACACACACCAGGTCATTTCGGGACTAACACATAGTTTAATTTTGTTTCAATAATTTGCTTTTGTGTAGTGGTCTTTAGCAGTGGGAGGAAACCGGAGGACCTGGAGAAAACCCACCAGGTTGGACAGGCGACCCTACTCCTTGTCACATACAACCGTGCATTTTATGAGCTAAAAAGACATCTTAGGTTTCTAATTCTTCTCGATTACATTGGCTGACCCAGAACTACAAGGGTGCACCAATATCAACTCAAATCTATTTGGATTTCAATGACGATTTACAAAATATAACATGGTGTTCAAATAAGATGCTTAGTTCAGAATATATACATATATCTCTTAAAAATAGTGTATACCTTATTTACATTTCATTACCTCTTATTTCTATTAAAGAAGGAGTTTATGCTTATTAACAGCTTAAAGGGCCAATCCCGATAATCCCTTAAAATCATCTACCAGAGGGCCGAGCAATTAACTCAATATACGTGATACGTTTGCAAACAACTTAAACCCGTCAGTCTTCATCTGGAAATGGAGACCGGTGTCCCAAACTGTATTATGCGGCTTACGGATAAACCAGACTTTTACTTTATAAAAATAATGTGTAGGTGAAATTTACCTTTCGTTATCAAGTACAGCACATGGGTCATTCATTGTATCGACCTCTAAAGGAATGGGAATCGATTATCAGGTCACCCAATGAAATAATGACCAGAAATCTTAAAAGGGTTACGTGTCCGGATAAGCATTTATGACGTTCATGTCCAAATGACTAAATATTGTGAGCTGAATTTTTGAGACAAGGTAAATACACCATTCCTCTATATTTTGGCGCTTAAATTTCAAACGTACTCAGACTTTTATTTTTGAGACTCTGTTCAAATCGGGATAGTCCCTTTAATATAATAAAACAGTGAAGAAACTGAAATACAGACGCCTATAAAGATTTAAACAGCTATATATATTTTGTCAGTCAATCAGATTTCTAAAACCATTTTTCTCAGTCAATAAGCCATGCATTATGTAAGATTTAGATAAAGAGCTGACCGTTATCGCGATAATAGTTTAAAAATAGATAATGAAAAGGGGATATGTGAAAAATTAAGTAAAATTACTTCATTCTGAGCTAAGTTATCGTCGACTGCAAAACAGTGTAGTCACGATTGCCATTGTTACCATTGTTAAGATAATAAACAAAATCTCGATTATCAATTTTTAAATTAAATCATTAACCACAAATCATATTTAAATCTGTTGAAAACCTAGAGCACTCGATGGCATTGGGAGTTGATTATGGTCTTGGCAAGTCTAAAAATGTCTAAGTAATAATTTATATAACATTTAAGGCAAAGAAAGACCTGCAATATGCAGATTTAACTCTTAAATAATGCCCCTTTAAGTAATATGAGAAATGCTAGGATTGAGACAGATATTTAACATGAACTAAAATCCCATAATTTAACTGTTTTATCATAAGAACCCGATACAATAATAAAATCATTAAACTGTAAACATGTTACGCCATCTGTATGATTACGTAATGTCACCAACCGTTGACCCGTCTCTAAATTCCATACCTATAACAATACACAAACAATATTATATAATGATGAACCCCAATGTCTCCCACAAACAACAACTACATCCACTGATGACTATATCAATCTTATTTATCTGCCCTTACACTGGCAGCAATGCTTAGTTACAAACATTACTGGAAATATCCATATTTAAAAATTTTACTCGGGGAAAGGCAAAGAGGTCACATATAATCGGGCAAATCTGTGAAATTCACAGCAGAAGTTAAATTTTTGAGAAAAGTAGTTCGACAAGAGACTAAATCACAAATATTTTTATGGATAAAAGATTTGACTGAGAATTTACCACAGTTTAAACTTGATGACAATATGAGAGTGTTTATCTAAATGTTATTAAACCTATAAAATATATCTATTATTAACAATAAAAGTCACCTTAATAGTTTTATCATCAGCAGCACTAACTAATCTCCATCCGTCTGCTTGTAAACATCTGTAAATAAATATATTTGATTCCAAATATTTTTCAATATGAAAGTGTGTCCAATTGTTTGAAGGGCAGTAAATACCGAAACTGGTTAATCACTGACACAGGATTGACAAGCAGAAACGAACTTGTAGCTAACACAACTATAAAAATCTGCTGTGCTAAATAATTTCCAATGATGTTCAAGGGAGACAACTGTATATTCTTTAACTTAGTATATGCAGATGGTACATTTCATTATTTTCTTAATCTACACAGTGCTACATTTCATTCTAGAACGTGTATTACAGCAGTTTGTGTATGGCTCGTACAACATTTGTTGTTTCTTTCGATTCAAGTACTTGTACATTTCCAAGTTATAAACTGAAATCTATCTGTTTTGAACTACATGTAACTACATTTTAAAAAACCCTGAAATAATTAGTCTATTAATTACACCTTGGCTGTGACTATAGTGAAATATATTGCATTATCTTTAATCAGACAAGTCAACAATTTGTCCCCAAATCAATATATTAATTTGTCAGGCTAGTATTGCATCTTTTACTATAGTGAAGTACAAAGAGAGATAGAGAAATAGGGTTTATCTTCCACTCGATTTCGGGACTATCACATGGTTCAATTTTATTTCAATAATTCGCTTGCACGTAGATGTTTTTAGCAGTGGGAGGAAACCAGGGGACCCGGAGAAGACCCACGAGGTTGGACAGGCGACTCTACTCCTTGTCACGTACAACCAGGGATTCGAAACCACGCCAGTTGACTTAATGGCAGACCTTATGATACAGCGTGCATGTGCTAATCATTCGGCCATCCGAGCCCCCTAGTGAAGTACAAGTAGTACCCTACCATAGGAAGATGTGTTTACTGTCATGTATATAAAGAAATTATAATCAACAGATCTATATATTTTAGTAAATGCTTACCTCACAACCCCTGTATGCCCTTCTGCAGCTTTCCAATCGATAGTATTAACACAATCACCAGAATGTATGTCCCAGAATTTCAGATTATAATCTAACGAACCACTGACGATTCTTGTTGTGTCAAACTGTAGACATGTGACAGCATCTTGATGACCTGTCAAAGTCATCAAACAACTACCAGTATAATTCCAAACCTAAAATAACAAAGTACAATACTAATAATAATAAAGTATTCCACAAATGAAATAACAAACAACCGAAATAACAAAAGTATTCCACAACTAAAATAACAAACAACTGAAATAACAAAAGTCTTCCACAACTGAAATAACAAACAACTAAAATAACAAAAGTATTCCACAACTGAATAAACAAAAGTATTCCGCAACTGAATAAACAAAAGTATTCCAGAACTGAAATAGCAAAAACATTCCACAAATGAAAAGTATTCCACATTTCAAATATCAAAAGTATTCCAAAACTGATATAAGAAAAGTATTAAACAACTGATATAAGAAAAGTATTCCACAACTGATATAAGAAAAGTATTCAACAACTCAAATAACAAAAGTAAATCACAACTGATAGAAGTGTTATATTCTCCAGATAATAAATAATTAAACTTCAGTTCTAATCTGGTGTCTCATATGTTATTTTATTCTTCCAAGAGAAGAGCATTCTATCAATTCAAATAAAAGTGGCAACATAAGTGATTTGGACTGATGGGCTAAATAAAACTTCAAACTGTATTACTTACCTTAATAGTTTTATCACAGGAACCAGAAACTATTTTAGTTTCATTAAAATGAACACATAATACAGCTGCTTGATGACCACTGTAAAATTAGAACAAGAGAATTCAGGTTTTTTGATACTGTGCAAAAAATTTCTCTGGTCGATAGATTCTGTAAATATGTGCACTTTGGTTTAGCAATTCACAAAGAATCATCATCAATGTGAAAGAATTTTCCAAAGAGTAAAATATATTACAGAAAGGAAAAGGTTAGTATTAATAATAAAATAAAAATTTACCGTAATGTCATTCTTGATTGCCCAGTACGTAAATCCCAGACTTTAAGTGTCATATCGTAAGATCCACTGATCACCTTATCATCATCAACCTAAAAACATACCTAGATTATTATGTAGAATAACAACACACATGAATTACCAGCAATAAACAGGGGCAAGAGTGTGAACACAGAATATAGACTGTGGTGACTTCCATGTTCTAGTCATAAACAATTGTACTGGATTGTAAGGACTTATTATGGGTTTATGGTCAACATTGATTCAAATAAACAATAAACAGAAAACAGATTTGTGTAGCTAATGTTATTTGTTTACCATGTACCACCCACAAATTAGAGATAAAAACTGCATGCTGTTTAAAAAAACCAATGTGGTGTATTGTTGAAGTAAATAATAATCAATTTTTAACATGCTTTTTTTATATCATTTATTGTTTAGCTAAATGGTGGTTTACTTTTATCATCGTTTATTGTTTAGCTAAACCGTGGTTTACTTTTATCATCATTTATTGTATACCTAAATGGTGGTTTACTTTTTTTTATCCCCACACATTAAAAAATACAAAAATCAGCCGTTATATGTAGATGATTATGTTTTCAGATTATTGTTTATTAGAATCAATGTGTGCCTGGCTTTAAGAAAAAAAAAGATTACAAGTATATCTTCTCATCTAGAAGACAAACAAAATTGATCATCTGAACTTGAAGGACTTGTAAGTCAGCAATTTCGAATTGAGCAAACTGTACCAGTCACACTATGAAATATAATAAATATTTTAGATTACCTGTAGACAACGAACTGTTTCTGTATGACCTATCATAGTAACTTTACATGCTATACTAGACCAACTATCTTGTGTTGATAAATCCCACACCTACAAATAATTTGTTAATCTGTATAATTATCTTAACAGAGAGAGAGAGAGAAATGGGGTTTAACGTCCACTCGACACAAAGTAGGTCATTTTGGGACTAACATATGGTTTAACTTTATTTCAATAATTCGCTTGCGCGTAGGCGTCTTTAGCAGTGGGAGGAAACCGGAGGACCCGGAGAAAACCCACGAGGTTGGACAGGCAACCCTACTCCTTGTCACGTACAACCGGGGATTCGAAACCATGCCAGTTGACTCAATAACAGGCCTTATGATACAGCGCGAGCGTGCTAACCATTCGGCCACCCAACCCCCGAATTATCTTAACAATATATTTTGTAAGCAGATGAAATCCTAAAAACATATCCTTTGACTATAACATATTGGTAACTAAAAACATAATATCTTTCAAGATACTACCAAAAACCATAGTGGCACAGTGAGTATGGTTGCTGATCACTAACCAGGTGGTTATGTGTTTGCTCCGAGTGCTGAACTAAGAAATTTCCTTGGGATCTACTAGTCAAGTTTCGTGTAGATGGAGGGCCAGCAATAAAAGGCATTCAGTTGTCAAAGAAAGATAGAGAAATGGGGTTAACATCCACTCGACACAAAATAGGTCATTTCGGGACTAATATATGGTTGGTTCAATTTTATTTCAATAATTCACTTGTGTGTAGGGGTCTTTAGCAGTAGGAGGAGACTGGAGGACCCAGAAAAAACCCACAAGGTTGGACAGAATCTGTAGCATCAATTAAAACATATTGAAATAAATAATACATACCTTTATTGTTGTATCACTAGAACCACTAACAAGACGATTACCATCTAAATGTAAACATCGCACAGTTCCACTATGACCAACTAATGTCTGAACTGACCAGGGAGCATTTGTACGAATATTCCATACCTAATAAAACACAACATAAGCCATTTCTACAAATATTCCATACCTAATAAAAGACAACATAAGCCATTTCTACGAATATTCCATACCTAAAACTAAAACACAATATTCCATACCTGAACAAAATTAAAACAAAATATTCCATACCTAAATAAAATTAAAACACAACATTGCATACCTAATAAGAGTAAACACAATATTGCATACCTAATAAAATTAAAACACAATATTCCATACCTAATAAAATTAAAACACAATATTAAATACCTAATAAAATTAAAACACAATGTTCTATAGCTAAAACACAATATAAACCTGAGAAGAGATATATATGAGATAAACAGTGCTCTTCATCAATATAGAAGATGTAATTTAGATAAAACTCAATGTTGATCTTTTAGTTTACAGAATCAATATTTTTATGTAATAGGAACTGGTATTAAATACTTGGGGGGTGACCGTCTTCCAAAAAAATGCATAAAGCATGAAACTTGGTATGCTTAATTCTTGGACAATTGTGCAACGATCGATTTTTGTTATGATGTCACAATTCCAAGATGGCTGCAATGACATCATACTCAGTTCCTTGGCTATAGTATGCTTGTACTTGTTATGGATACAGTTATGTCTTAGAATTTTGTCTTCAGGTAGTTTTTAATCTTAAAGTAATAAGATATAATACAAATCACAACTCATATTATATAATGATATAAGATGTTATACCTTTATTGTTTTATCTGATGAACCACTGACAATTCGACTATCATCAAACTGAACACATGAGATTCCTGAAAAAATATTTTACAATTAAATAGAGCTAATCAATTTGCAGAGGAATAGGCAGGTACATGTAATGTACATGTATGTCACTGTTTGGGTAAATTTCTCTTTTCCAGAATGATACATGTGACAATAATAGTCAATAAAATTATTGTGGAGTTTAAAAAAAATTACAAAAAAGTATTTAAAATCATTCCATTATCAAAAAATATGGAAACAATTTTTTGCTACCGAAATTAGAGAATCGATCATATATTCATAATCATATAGACTATTTCAAATATACCTGTTTACAACCAGAACCAGAGATAAATGTCAATAACAATATACCTTTAAACTCCATTTCCTTTCACAATGATCAAAACCTGGTATAGAAATATTAACCAAAAAAAAAAATGGTGTTGATACAAGTTTCAAGCAAATAATGTACAGATTAGAAAACAGAAAGAGTATATTAATTACTTGTACCTTGTGTATGACCTTCAAATGTTCTCACAGTACATCTACCACTTAACCAATTATTTCTTAACCGATATCTTTCAGCAAATACTTTCTTCCACTACAATAAAATAAAATATACCTATGAAGATGAAAGATTACTCTCCAACAGTTCGCATTATAGAGAATCTTAAAAAACTCAATCAATCATTTGGGATCTCCAATAATTAATAAGATAAAATTGAATATGGGTTTATATGATTACCAGTACTGACAATGAGAACTTAATATCTTAAACCTCTTCCAATTACCAGGCAATATATCATTAAAAATCTCAAACATATTAGATAAATTTATTCAACACAGATACCTACCTGAATACTGCCTTCCGGTGACATGTGAGAAATAACTTGTTTATGTTCTGCAGCTTTTGAAAGGCGCCATTTCTGCTGACAACAAAATCGTCTCCAGAAAATTGGTTCATCTGCATGCTGTTGCCATATTTTACAAACCTGGGATGCCCTGCATAAACTGACTGTAAAACAGAACAATTTTAATTGTGATGATATTATTTTCAACAAAAAAACCCATAACTTTAGTTTCTTAAAGTCTAATATATATAAGAAGGGAGCCACTGTGGCTCAGGGAGTAAGCCATTGGCTCAATAATCTGGAGGTCCCATGATCGATTCTGGTGTTGGCTGAGTAAGTTCATCATTATCTTCTGGAGCGGTTCCATCTTGTCAGTGGTGCAGAGAAACGGACCAGGCAAGGGACAACATATAGTCATTCTTATGGGACAAAATTATGGGACAAAATTTGATATTAGAGTAGGCCGTAGCGACGCTGTCCGGACAAAATTTCCCTCATAGCATTAACACACTGTATGGCATATGTCTGCGGTCCTCATTGGCCCAGTTGGTGCAGAATAGTAGGACCATAGGACGTTAAACTTCATTTTATTCATCATATCTAAGAAAATAAAGGCTGTCAATGCAAGCTTGACCTTTGTCAATGCAAGCTTGAGCTTCGTGGATAGAAACAAGTCATTTTTCAGCAGCATAGGATGTGATGTCATTAAATCAATTTGAAAGTAATGAGAACTTCACATAGCACTTTGGAAAGATTACTTTTGAAAGTGTATGACAAGACATTTTCTTCTAATGCTATGGCTATACCCAATTTTGTATAAATTGACGGACAGGTAAATTCTTTAGATGATCAATTTCACTGCATGTCAGCCAAGACTAGCAAATAATAGAAAAAGCACAGCCCTGTACTATAACTAACCTGGATCTAAAGAAGACATTATTTTTGATGCAATATTTGATGGTAACCAAGTTATAATATCTTGACAATTCGGTGGACAGCCAAGATGAAAGTTTTCCTCCATTTTAACTGACAACAAATGTATCTGAGGTAAATCACAACCACTCTATAATAAATATTCAATATAAATGAATCAAGCAACTAATTAGATGACAATAAATATCTTGACAAAATATCTTGTACACCCCCATGGCATGTTTCATGAAGTTGTGTTCTGTAAGTGTAATAAGCTAGTCTGTCTGCATTTTCAACAGAAGGCTTAATCTCGCTTTAACTACGTACATCTTATCAAGCTCTTCACGTAATACCCTGCATATTTTGGCACTAATATCGATTGGGTACAAGCCCAGCTTGTGAGCCTAGAGGTTCCTCAATCGTCGCGAATACCATATCTCGCGCTTTCAAGCTAAAATGTCTACCTGTGATAATCAAGTTGCAAAGATCAAGGTCCATTCAATGTCAAGGTTTCCATGGAAGTCGCTATATCACAACCTCTCATTGGACGCTACTGCTCACATGTCTGTAGATAACGTAGCTATAAGTTCGAGAAATGTGAAATAAACAAGCAATGTCTAGATGTTGTAAAACTCGCAGTGGTTGCTTCAGGAACATGGCCTGTTTGGCTCAGGACTGACATATACAATCTGATCAAGAGCCCTGGTACAAAAATATTAAAATGGCTAGAGTTTGTGCCAGTACTAATTGAAATAACACATCAGATCAAACCAGTTCTACTTAATGTGTTAATGTTTTTACCAAAAGGCCTTTTAATACTAAATTCTTTTGTTCATCATTAAAATCTGTGAACCATCTCTTCATAGCCTGAAATACAATATGTCAAATGTTAAATAACTGACGACAGATATAAATTGTAATCAGCATGTATTTTGATTTGCATTTAGAACAATACATGTAACTTAAGGTAGGGTCCCAGATTACACAAATGCCAATTTACACAATTTATCTTGTTTGAAGATTGAGTCGTTCGGGAATGATGGCTAGATTCGTTTAACTCATTGAAGGAATTCCATTCTCCAATTCTGTAATTGACTTGATGATCACGGCGAGCACTCACCACTGTAACTTGGCCCATATACTGTACAGTACATGTATAGACCAGATTATCCAGGCACTTACAGAGCATGGAATTAGGGATTTACGGCCAACCAGCATAGAAACTTAAGTTAACCAGTTTTGCTCTCTAGTACATATATATTTGGGACTTCTCATTTGATAGTCATTTTAGTTCTTTGACTTATCTAAGGTCCATCTGTTTCACAAAACAGGGGGTTGGGTGGTCTAGGCTTCAGATCATAAGGTCTGTCACTGCATAAGATCTGTCATTGCATCAAGTAGCTAGATTTCAAACCCAAGCCTGTATGTGACAAGGAGTAGGTATGTCCAGGTCCTCTGGTTTACTGTCACTGCTAGTAAAGACCCCTATGCATAAGTGAAATAAAATTGAGCCATATGGTAGTCCGAAAATGACTTAGTATGTGTTGAGTCGATGTCAACCCTGATTTCTCTCTCTTCTATTTTCCAACAAAATATATCAGTATGGTACATGTACTGACATATCGTTGGGGACATGATTCCTGTACACAGGCCTTTAGTATGCATATTCTTTACATGGACTTTTACTGAATTTAAAACTTATACTTACTGCAAGTCTTTCCCTGAAGTCATTTGGTTTAATACCTCTATTTACATGTTTACAATGCTGTACTTCACTAATACTAGAATACTGTTTAAATTCAGGTTTGGGAGGTCGGCCTACACCACAACATGGTTTAGTTACATGAACAATACTAGTCAATGGTAAATGACATTTCTGGGAAATTGGGGAATTCTTACGTAATGGTATTAACATGTCTAAATTTGTCTTCTTTGGCACTTCTTCATCGCTGTCTGTAGAGTAAAGTTTTTGTCTGTTGTTGTTTCTGCCATGATAGAGATTCTTGGTGGGATGACTATGTTTTGTTGTTTGAGTTTTCGGCCTTTGTAACTTGAGATCGTCAAGTCTTGCTGCAGTCTCACCTAGGTCGTTAACATTGACGTTGTTCTTGTATTTTGTTTGATGTTCAAAAGCACTATTACCGTTACAGACATTGTCATAATACTGATATTTAGGGGGACAACTTCCACCATTTTCAATGATCTCACATGGTGGAAAGTGAGATTCTTTAGGACACACATTATCATCTTCCTCGTCTGCAAATACAAGGTCCACTTGTGAAGGTGGGTCAACACATTGAACTGTATATGGATTGGAGGAAAGCGTGCGAGAACACAACCGTCTTCGCCCACGTCCCTGGGAAGTGTCACTGCCTGGGGATGTAGACAGACTCATGTCAGACGGTTCACTGGCATCGCTAGCAGACTCAACCAATGAGGATGAAGTCTGCGCTTTTCTGGGTGGATCTAACATGAATCTGACAGAGGAATAACCTCTGTATTAAAAATTCTTGGAACACTTGGAACACAAACCCTTTGTGGATTTTGTTCTAGCACAAATTAGGATAATACACTGTTATTTTGAAGAATGGTTCAGGTAAGCCTGAAAAACAAGACAGTGGAACATGTTGGATGAATCAAAACCAAAATGACTTTTACCCATATAATTATATAATTATTAAAAAAAAAAACCTACATGCATACGAATTATTAAAATAAAACTTGAACCATGTGTTAGTCCTGAAATGACCTAGTTTGTGTCAAGTGGATGCTAAACCCCATTTCGCACTCTCTCCCTCTGGTTTCTGTTATTTTATTCCAAATTTTATTGATACTTTTAATACATGTCGACACAAAGTTTAAACTGTCAAGTATACCCAGTAATTAAAAGAATTATTTCCAGACTTGATACATGTACATGTATATTCCTTATTTTTTTTTCAAGTTTTATATCAGCAGACAATAGAAAGTGGAATTTTTTACTAGGAAAAGGCTGCAGCCTTCCGAGTCTATATTATTCCTTGAGAGCATTAAGAACGTTTAGATTACCGGTAATCATTTTTTTTTCATTAAAGATAATAAACTTACACGTTTTAACTATTACTTGTAGAGTCAGTGTGACATGCCCAGCTAATATTTAATGTGTAACAATTTTAATGCACAACATTGACAAGCCAAAGTCTGCATATTTCTTGTAAATAATTTTATAATAAATGCTCATTTACTCCCCCGTCTTCATTAGCCCAGTTGGAGAACAGTAGGATGTTAAAACCCATTTCATTTCATTTGCTTATTTACTCTAGAAATTGTTAGAACTTGTGAACAGATCAAATAGACACCCAAGTTTCATATTTAATATTATTAGAAACTTGAAACCTAGCAATAAGCAGAGGCCACATCACACTAAACATGTATATGTAAGGCATCACACTGTAATATACAACTTCATCATCACATCAACAAGGTACATGTACAAATACATTGTATGTGTATTTGTATTGATGTACACCTAGTCCCTTAAAGATGCATTATGCAAGAGATAAATCTGCCTATTGCAGGGCTTTTTTTCTGGCTTCATTTGTTATATACATTATTATTCAGACTAGACGTTTATTCACATGCTAAACCCATAATCAACTCTCTAGACAACCGGATGGCCAAGATATTTAATGGATTAAAACACCTGCATCATATAATAATTTAACTTTAAAATGGATAATCAAGACTTTGTTTATTAATTTATTGAAGAAATGGTTCTTGACAATCAAGTTGGTGTCAACTGTAAGACATTTTCAATGGAAATATTTTCATTGAAAAAACTAAACATCACCTAGCATGAGAAGCATTTTTACAGTTATTCAGGCCAAACTTTACAGCTAACATGATTATAGTTTCCATGTGATTACAGTCTTAACTTTTTTTGACTGGATTATGTCATAACTTACAGAAGCAATAATCTAAATCTTAGTTACCTGGTACTAGAAAATATTTTATTTGCCACAGAGAGTTTATCCTTATCATGTGCACTTTTCATATTTCGTTGGAAACACAAATCCACAAGAAGTATGGGCTTTGATTATTGCCCAAAGTTTGTTACCTATCGAATTTGTGTATGTTTACTTTACCTTAGTACAATAGGAAGCCCATGATGATTTACACATATATCTTTATACATGTAATTGTAAACTTGTTTTCCTGATCTACATCATGTATATAGATGTACATATCCTGCTCAAAAGACTACACATACATGTACCTTGTTCACTTTCACATAATAATATGAGTTAATGAAGTCAAATAAATAGCAAATTTTACAATCAGGCGCTGCCATGATATATTGTCAGTAGTTGTGCTGTTTAGCATCAGTTAATTATCCTAGTTCCTTGGTTTTCAATTAAGGGAGCTAAACCTCTTTAATATATGTCAGACTATAGAATTACATTATAAATTACACTGGCTTGTTTTGTAATTATAATAACTAGATCTACTGGTAAATCTGAATAAGTCTTTGAAAACAGATCATCTGAAGACAATCAAACTGGCCTTGAAACAGCCAATGCAGCCAAGGATTATATGTACACGTATCGAATGTTGTGATACTTTTACAGTCTTCGATATCTAAGAATTATTGAGCAAAAATAAGAAAGGAAAATAAATAACATTGAGGTTGGTGTTCCCCACCTTCCAAATAAATATATGCACATGTAATATAAATGACAATCACTAATTAATTGCACATTTATCTTTTTATATAAACATACAACAACCAAATCACTTTTAACAAGAGGTTGCCATGCAAGATACGGCCACAGTTTTCAAGAGATGGATAGGAAACAAGCTAACAAAGCAATTTTTCATATCATCAGGGGCCATAACCCAGAAAGTTAGGGTCTGATACATGCAAGCAATGAAAGGAACCCAGACCTTTGGGAATAAACATATATTTTAAGCTTCATTAAAATCTGATAGAGGGTCCACAACCTTGGTTTTACACTCTTTGCGTAAAGGAAACGATCATTTTATTGTGCAGTTTCGGTCCAATTTTCAGGAAATTCAAATTCAACCATCATTAGGGTGTAACAGTGATATATTTGAACAATTTTTAAAAGATTGTGACCTCTTGGGGGTCCACAATCCAAAACCCCACAATTTTTTGTACAATCAGAGGTCATAATCTATGAAGTTACAGTCCGATATGTGTGAATATCGAAAGGAACCAAAATCTGCATGCCCTGTGGGGGTTGGATGGCCGAATGGTTAACATGTGCATGCTGTATCATAAGGTTTTTCATAAAGTCAACTGCTGTGGTTTCGATTCCCTGGTTTTATGTGACAAGGAGTAGGGTCACCTGTCCAACCTCATGGGTTTTCTCCGGGTCCTCCAGTGTACTCCCACTGCTAAACAACCCTATGCGCAAGCGAATTATTGAAATAAAATTGAACCAGCATGCCCTGAGCAGAAAATGCTCCTGAAATCAGTCAACGTATTGATATACATGTAATGAAACTTTACACCAAGTTTCATCTCTCACCCACTTAGAATAACAGTTATCATGTTCCAAAGTATCAACATATGAAATTGTTTGCCTCCGAATGGCTTAACCTATGTAGAAATGCTCATTATACAAAAAAGTTTGATCATAGAAGAACTGTTATTGTGTCCAGAAAAGTGTAACACACCACTGCAGGGCTGGGGCCATTACATTGCCAATGTAATTAATTACATTACCATTACCATTACTTTTTAAATGTAATCATTACAATTACTTTCTCATTTTTAGCAATGTAATTAATTACCATTATTCATTACATTGAAAGTAATTAATTACCATTACCCATTACTTTATGACTATATAAATAAAAAAACATTTTCATAGAAATAAAAAAGACAACATTATTTTTCTGCCATGAAGTACATGTACCTACAAAATCAAACTCAAAATAATCCTTGATTCACTTAATATTTGTTTATGAATTATTATTTCTAGCAATTATAACATCAAGGCAAATTTTATAGTGACGGGCAGTGGTGACAAAAACTGACATTTTCACTGTATGACTTGAAAAATGAATCAAAACTATAGTTAATTAACTGTATTTTCTTTTAAATAATTTTTAAAAAAATTTAATCAGTCCAAATAGTTTTTCTATAATATATTGTATAATAAATGGTAAATTATTCAGCATGACTCTAAAACAAAATATATATTAGTTTTAAGTAACCATAAAATGATGAGATACTTGAAGGTCATTGTTTGGTTTGTCACTTGTTACCTTGAGATTAAGATTAAAGTGCAGTAAGACTATTTATTGTCTTTTAATCTAAATGACTGATTGATTGATTGATTGATTGACTGAGTGATTGGCTGCAAATTAGTACTAATCTTTGATTATAATATACATCTTATCAGAAATCCACTTCTTAGGTTACATGTCTAAAAAAGGTTCCTACATAAAAAGTAATAAAGAACATGTTTAATGCCTTCTTATTTTTCTTATAATTTTTTAAAACTGATTTAAATCTTTTTTTTTTTAGAATTATAATGAATTGGATTTGTGTCAGATACACTTAATTACTTCTTTGATGCTATAAAATTTGAGGCTTGTCATATTGGAAATATTTATATATGTCATAAAATGTAATTGAAAAGTAATTGAAATGTAATTGACCATTACATGATTTTTGGAATGTAATTAATTACATTTCCATTACTCATTACTCTTGAAATCTTCCATTACTTATTACATGGCCATTACTTAAAAAATGTAATGATTACATTCCATTACCATTACCCGAGCCCTGTACCACTGACAGGTGGAAACCCAATCTGTTTTACAGACCTAATGCGACATCCGTCTTTTATCTCTGTCCAAGATGATTGACCTTTAAAAGGTCAGACCGCTGTAGTTCTAAGGGTGACGTCACATCACAATGTTTACCAACAAAGCAAGATGGCATCGATAACGCCAAAAAAGATTACTTCTGTGGCTTGTTTTTGTTGTTTTAAAACAAACACGGGCCGGTCAATCAGATTAGACGGTAAAAAATGTACTTCTGAAAGAATTCAGAGTAAACAAACAGAAAAAAACGTCAATTGATGGTCACACGTGCGTTGTTTACATCGATCGTAGTAATATGAACTGGTACGGGCAAAACTATATCGTTTTACCCATTTTACGCCTCCGCGTACTATTTTCTGTACCTATTTACGCTAAATATGGAATATTTTTTATCAAGATATACTTCAAACACCTTTATTTATTTTTCTAATACTAAAAAAAAATGTTTCAGATTCAATTTGTCGAAAGAAAAAAGTTAATATTTTGTAGTCATTAAGTCGCATCGATGTCATCCTTATCAGTGATTGTAGCGGCCAAGCGAATATTCACTGCGGATCAGTGTGGTGGAAACCATGTTGGAAAATCGAGAGGAACTTTCTCAGTCAGCACCTGGATGGAACCCAGGATCTCCTATCATACAGTCAACATCTTATCCCAGAGCCACCCTACATCAATTAAAAGCAAAGTTATTGGGTTTCAAGGTATCGACCAATGAAATTGCTTATCTCTGCTTAGCCTAAGACCTAACTAAGTGGAAAATGCTTCTCATGGAAATAAGTCCAGACATTCACCCTAGAATAAACATCTACTCTGCACCAAATTTGAACATTCTACTACCTCAATTAAATACAAGTCAATTCGTCCACAAGCAAAGTCATCCACACAAAAATTTTGGTGAAGTCGTCCATACCCATTGGTGGAGTCGTCCACACCCGTTGGTGGAGTCATCCACATACTTGGGGTGAAAATTGTAAAAAAACAAATTATATTAAAATTAACTTGGGTGAAAATCATAAAAAACAAATTATATTCACCCAAGTCAATTTTAATGTAATTTATTTTTTTATAATTTTCACCCAAGTCAATTTTAAATACCACCCAAGTCATTCGTAATATAATTTGTTTTTTATGATTTTCACCCAAGTCAATTTTAATATAATTTGTTTTTTTACAATTTTCACCCAAGTATGTGGACGACTCCACCAACGGGTGTGGACGACTCCACCAATGGGTATGGACGACTTCACCAAAATTTTTGTGTGGATGACTTTGCTTGTGGACGACTTGACTTGTATTCAATTGAGGTAGCAGAACGTTCAAATTTGGTGCAGAGTAGATGTTTATTATAGGGTGAATGTCTGGACTTATTTCCATGAGAAGCATTTTCCACTTATGGTACACAGGACCTCAGTTTTATGTCCCATCTGAATTACTATTTAGATGTTATTGAGAAGGCCTTGTCATTGTCAATAAATAAAAGAATTGAATGTCCTCTAATCGGAGAAGGTAGAGTTATCAGTATTGTTTTAGGTACCATTATAACAAACTAAAATTCAAGACAGAGACATGTGCATTTACTTGGTCCTTCATGTAGAGTAGTAAATGTACATGACATGACGTTCTGTGCTGGGTGGGGACTAAGGCCTACCCCAGTAATTGAAATGACGCAAATTTACAGACATACATTGAGGGCAAGTCCTACTTACAATGTTCTTCAGTACTATTAATGTCATATAAGGTCTTTCATTTCATTATATAGTTGTCGATAACGCCAACAAAAATCTATTCACATGATGAAAATCACACTAGATTCACTGTTTTCATTCCATTACACCTCCATGACTCTCTTCTGAGGTTGTAAACAGTCGAGTTCATAATCCAATCGAGGGAGAATACATTTTATAAACCAGAAGTATTCCAATAATTTGAATCGTTTTAAAAGATTAAAGCTAAAATAGCTGAAATCCATATATATGTTTTTGATTTATAAACAAATATTGATTTATTATCATTGCACCTAACATAACGTTCTCCTATTTCTCCTATAGGCATTCATCCTACCCGAAAGTGAACTCGTCCAATCCATTTCTGGGATCTAGAGGGCGCTAGTAGTTTCATTCGGCGGAAGTTGGATTGTTTCGGTACGGAAATATAACTTGCTGCTTGATATTATTTCTTTCAAGCCAATAGGCCTTGAAAAATTATGGAAAAGAGTCTCGAGAAGCACCTTGAAGAAACGTTTGTATCAATTCCTTTACAAAACTTCCCATTTCAGTTGACTTGTATTTCAAAATGAATCATTATCATGAGTATCATGTGACATTTTAGATCTGCACCTAGCCCACGTAAAACGAACGTTAACAGAGTAAGTTGGTAACTTTACTACAGACTACAGCAGCAGACAGCAGTGTCAGTCACTCAATGATTGTAAATAACTGTGTCATGCAATGAGTTCCAACTGAACAGCTAATATGACTATTGACTGACTATTTCTTTGTTCATGCAAAGAGTTATGTATATTTTTTTTTGCGACACTGCCAAAAAGTTTGGCTGGTTTCCTTCCTCAATAATACAAATCTTGGCGGGTAATAATTTATAAGGACATAAGTAACTAAACTTAAGCATATATCTTCATTAACACAGTTTATATATGCACATTTGTGAATACATACCTGCAATTTAGATAAGGAACACTAGCAAATATGTCAAGGATAAGTCAAGGATACAAAAGAGTTAAACCACTTAGTAAAAAAAAACCCCAACAGTTTAATGCCCAGTGGCAGTACATGATGCTACACACTTTACACAGAGATCAGTCAAGCATTCAAGGAATTTCATCTCATTGTATTTAATACTGTACAATGTATTGGATTAATTAACCTTTTGGCTTTAATAAGGTGTGTCATGCAGAAGCAGAACATGATGTAGGCAACATGTATAAATAATGTATAATAATTATGTGTAATGTTAATTTCAGATAACACATTCTTTTTTTTTTCAGATTTAAAATACCTGGTGTAAGTAGTGTAATATGTACAGATGAACAAGGCCTTTGTTTAGGATGTAAGTTGTGCTTACATTACATGTACATACCCCCCCCCCCCCCCAAATCCCCCCTTATGTTTTGTTAGTGCATGAGAATTGTCAAAAGCCATCAATTACAAGCATCAGTATACATCAAAGCTACCTCCAGCTCCCTTGTGTTCTAAGAGTCTGTAAGCTGGAAGGGGTTTTAATAGATTAAAAAATACGGTATTAGAAATTTAGTTTTGTAAAAGGGAAGAGGGGGCTAAATCCCCTGCATTACTCCCTAGTTGCTCAATGTATTTACTATGAATGAAACTTTAGCATATGTAACGTAACGCTAAGTAAAATGTAAAAATATGTGTGAATCAAATGTGTAACACTAAGAATGTTATTTGATTGTTTTCAGTAAAAGGTTCATGTCATGCAAATGTTGCTGGTCCTATAGCTACTCTAGCCAAGCAAGCTGATGAATTAAGAAGAACTACCAATGCTCCCAATCCCCCTAGTATTTGTATAGAATCTGAAGCAGGGTAAATATTTAACATATACATGTATATAGAACAAATGATTTTTTCCCCAGTTATTTTATGAAAAATTAGGCCTGAAATTGGATTGATATGATTGATTTAGTGTTCTTGATTGTACATGGACAGGTGTTTGGATGTGTACCGGTACAATCATCTGTTTGTACATGTACATCCATTTTTTTTATATTTCACATTTTCATGTGAGAAACTTCCTATAAATAGATACGGATAACACAAACCAATTACAGATGTATAATGTTGTCGCCACTGCCTGGACAATGTTTTATCCAATTTGAATGAATGATTTTGGCACATATCGAACTGAATATTCCTGGATTATTGCCACTGATTATGCAAGGTATGTGGGCTCAGTTTTCATCAGATTTTTCTTGCAAATTTGGTGTGAAGCATTTTCATGATGAGAGGACGAACCTTGTCAATATTTAATGTTCCGCAATAGTAGGGTGCCTCATGCAGCCCAAATTTTCCCTACTGAAAGTTGAACTCGACACAGCGAATATGTACTCTTCAGTGGCTTGTCTCGAAGTGATTTCTGGCTAGTCACGTGGTGCGATAACCCTCACCACGACAGTCTATGAGTCTATTAATAGCCATCGCACGTGAAATTCTATACACATCTATCAACTATTAAAGCCGTAAAAAATCTGTTGTTGACGATTCTGAATAGCAGTAATATTTAGCTTTTTGGTTATTACAGCAGCTTTATTTTTTAATTTGCTTTATCATTAACTATACCATTAGGAGCGGCATCATTTGGTTTAGTACAAATAATATCTCTGAAACACTAGGGTTAAGCAAGAACATGATACTAACAGTAGTTCCATTTTACTTTTACAAGGTTCTTAAAAAAATTGTTTAGTTGCCCAAGGTGCATATTTCTAAATTCAATTTCTTGTTCCAGCTTTCTGTTATGTTTCGTAAAAAAAGTAGTCTTGATTATCCCGGCCTGTCAATCAGACAGTGAATGGTCGGTAGGCTGGTTAAGCAAGACTAATTTCAAGACAAGGGCACATAATCTATTTTTTACTCAAAAGTGCCTGGATGTTATGGCTAATACTCGTTTATTTAGTGTTTTATAAATGTCCGAAACTGATTTAAGGCTTGGGATATATATAAATATTGTGGTGTAATTGTCGAGATATTTGGAGATAGTTATTTATGGTGGGGCACCTTAGCAACGGTACAAACTAGAGTTACCCCCAGTGCTGAAAATCTTCTGAACGTAATAAAGGCTACAGTTTTCACTAATATTTTCAAATTTGGTGAGAACAATTGGGTTCATGAGGGAGCAAACCACATCGATAAACCTTTCTGGTCCTTAGTCAAAAAACTTACATGTATCATGTATCAACTCGATGGAGGGTACAGTTTTTAATAATTCATGAGAGGTTGGTAAGAAAATGAGCCCTGTCAATATTCCCTGTTCCTCATCTATCTCTTAGAAATGTAGGTGTATCTTGCATATGGTGTTGTTGGTGTGTAACTACAATATACCTGGGGCTTTTTCACGAAATTTTAACTAAGATAAAATCCAAATTTTAGTAATTTGATTGGATAATATTAGATTGATTTTAGTGTTTAGCCAATCAAAATTGAAGTAGCTTCTAACATTTGGATTTTATCTTTAGTTAAGATTTCGAGAAACAGGGTCCTGAACAACTAGAAACAATTTCCCTATGCGGTTTTAAATTCAATAGGCTAACTGTCAATTATTTTTTTATGTAAATTTTTTTTTTCTATTTTCAGAAGTGTTTTAATTGGTAAAAAGGATGACATTACCATGGCAATCTTTAAATCTTCTTGAGTGTGGTTTTAAGTCAAATACTTGTACTCAATGTAAATTCTATTAACAGATATTGTTTAATTAAAGATGCATTATGCAAGAGCTAAATATGGTTGTTGCAGGTCTTCAAATGTTATATACTGGCATAGGCGTACGAGCTGGGGGGGCGGCCGCCCCCCCATTTTGGGCACCAAATTCTGGGAAAATTTGGGCACACAATTGTACTTTGTAAAAGTTGTATAAAAAAAATATTGTGTTTTTGAATGTGTCCAATTTAACAGCGAATTTATTATTATTTTGTAACATACTAAGAACCTAACTACATTTTTTGGGCACCAACCACCACCGCCCCCCCCCCCCAGTCAAAAATTTCCCCGTACACCTATGTATACTGGTACATTATTATTTTGTCTATAATGACACCTCTAGATCATCAGATGGCCAAGATTTAAATGGATTAGAACATCTGTGAGATTAAAAAAATTAACGATAAAATGGAAGATCCAGATTTAGTCTTGTACGATAATAAAATTCCATCATTATCAATTTTTGAACCAGCATAAATGGCCAGCTATGGATCTAAATCTTACATAATGCATCTTTTAAGGAGATTCTTATCAATTTTAACAAAGAAATAACTGTAATCTTCTTTTATATACACTGAGAAACAATGAAAATACACCACAATGATTGTCGGCTGGACATTTACTAGCACATAAAAATCAATGATCAATAACAACCCACAGAGACCCTAATGTACATGTGCCCACCTCTAACAGATCTGTGGGCCATACAATGTCCCATTGTGGAGGAGGCAAACAGTGTCACCACTGATGAATCCATGTGGACCCCTAAAAGTAGTAGCAATATGGAAAACTGGCATTGTGTAATCCTGCAGGTTGCTTGATAAAAAGCAGCCTCGCATTGCCATCAAGATCATGGTCATTCTGCAAGATTAAAGTGTATCTCTCAAACAATGGTTACAATCATCCATTTAAATAAGTGCTTCATTTTCTATGCATCTCAGTATATTATCATTCAAAATACCACTTTCACTTTCGTCGAGGATATTAATGTAATCACTATTTTTATGACATCATTCAAAAATGGCTAAACACATCTAATAAATGAAAATCCAAGAACTGGCCTGCATGTACTTAGATTGCCTATGATAAACTCAATGAAAACCACTGTAAGCTGTAATATGTGTGATAAGTAATAATATTTATATTAAATCACGGTGGACCTGTTTCAAATTTTTCATACAATCTAATTCTTAGACTGACAAGATGTCCACAGCGCTAATAACTAATATGCTTTTCATTATATGTGTTTAAAGATATATATATATCCTTTAACAACAGGGACAGTATAATATGTTGTTTATTTAAATAATATCTTATGAATTTATGTAAGTACTGAAAATATAAATGCCTTGATTATAGATGATTTATTTTTCGATATAAAATGTTTCCCCAACACTTA